TATATATATATATATATATATATATATTGTATAAATTTATATATATATAGCATAATAAAAAATTAAATAAAACACGAAGAAAATTAGGAAAAACAATAAGTTTTATTTATTGCGCATAAGCTGCAAGTAAATAGAACTCAGAAAATAAGTTCAAAATGTAGAAAAAAACAAGGGAAGAACAATGAAAAAGGGGAAAAAAATAAAAATAATAATAAAAATAAAAATAACAAAATATCAGAAAAAAAGGACAAAAAATTTTACTAAAAATTTTAAAAGATCCGGAAAATAAAGGATATAATCTTTTCATCAACTCACACGATTATATCCGCAAAAAAGAGTGCTTTCTAATATTGCATATATTTTGCTTTAGCTATATTGATTAATAAGTCGAATTGTTTTTGTTATTTTTTTAAAAAAAATTTACATTTCTAGACGCATTCTAAAATTTCTCAATTGTGGGACGATAGCTGTTGGTGGAGAATGTGACCCCAAAGATCTCTATATCTCACCGACGATTCTCATAGATGTGAAAGAAACAGATGCTGTCATGCAAGAAGAGGTATCATCAATGTACTTTAGATATCTATAAAAATAAATTGACACTTAGAGAAAAAAATTTATAAAATCAAGTATCATTGTAATAATTTTCTTTTATAACACTGTATGGTATGGATTTTTTAATATCGCGATATGTCCTCAGAAAATATCTATATTTTGAGAAATTATTTGAATTTACTTTATTTTTAGTTTAAATAATATTAATTCTCCAATTGAAGAAAGAAATTTTTTTTAACATTTTAAATAAGCATAGTTTTAAGTTTAAGAAGTCAATGAGCAGGAGAAAACAAGAGATTTTTCAAGTTAGTTAAACATAGCACTCACGATAATATTGTTATCAATTATTAGCGAGAAATTATCGGGTTCTATAAATGTAACTATAATCACAAAATAGTCATGTCTGACAATTGCCATTGGCGATAATCACCGTGATATATCGTATCTCCTTTATATATAGTATTTGTTTTACATGATTCTCAAATCGTGCGAAAAATACACCGGGAAACTAATTTTTTTCTGGTTTATGAAACTTTTTAACAGATCTTAGATACTTTCGTTTGACTGATTTCAAATCTGAAATCAGTTTCTCTCATCAAGCTACAATTTTTTTTAAATGGCATTTTTAGTATTTCTTTTTTCAAAATGTACAATGCTTAAAAAAATAATATATGAGAGTCATTCAAATGAAACCTGGTCAGTGCGTCTAATTTTGCATTAAACGTAACTGGGCGCCACGTAACTGCATGTATGGCGGCACCATCTATTGGTAGAGAGACTGACGCATGCGCAACGTTTGACTTTGCATAGTGACAGCGTGGTTGCACGTCGAAGAGAAGGTGGTCATACAAGTTATCGTCCACTACGGAACAGGCAGGCGAGTAAGCAGGAACAACGAGTTTCGGTGAGAAATGCTGGAACATCCACCGTACAGTCCAGACCTTTCACAGTGCGACTTTCCTGCTTTTACACCTCTATAACAAGCTGTTCGCGGACATCGATTCACAACGGACGACGACGTGTGTGACTAGGTCCAGGCCTGGATCCGACAGTAGCCAACTAGCGTCTTCAAAGATGGAATAGGCCAGCTAGTGTCTAATGGGATAAATGTGCCAACAGTTTTGGCGACTATTTTTGAGTATATGTACTGTGTTTGACTACATTTGTGAGTTATCAAAATCGCTACTCTTACTTTACGATAGTGGCCGGGTTTCATTTGAATGCCCCTTATTTAACAGGGGGACGTGTAAATGTTACAGCAAGCTTCTAAAGGAGTTAGGGCACATCATCAGGATTAAAATTGCATGGGAACCCATGACAGAAATGTTGTCAACCACCCCTAGAGGCACTTCTCTATTATGAATCTTTTCTTCGTGTGCTTCTGAACAGGTCATAATAGAGAAGCGCATATACAATAAATGAAACCTTATATGACCAGCAATTCAAAGCGATTATGTTTTACTTATTTTAATTTTATTATTACATATATTTATGTAGGCTTGTATAATTACAAAGTGCCCTTCATAAGCCCTTATTGACTTGAAGAATAGATAGCTTAAGTTAGAGAAGGGCATCACAAATATACAATCAGGGTTAAGGCGGATTCGTACCACTACCTCAACACTACTGAGCGTTTAGTGGAACGGCGATACCGCTCGGTCAAGTAACTGAGCAATGATAACCCAGCAAAACGAATTGGTTTTAATTTTATCCCAATAGAATCGGGAACAAAAAGTAAATATAAATGTAATAAAAAAATTTTAAATCAAAAAATTTTCTGATTTTTTTTTTTTACAATTAAGATAAAAAATANAACCTTGATTTTTTTTTTTTTTTTTTTTGATGTAGCAATCTGTTAATTGCCCAGAAACAAAAAAAAAACATTGCCATCATCGAGGTAGATGAGTGCAGTAAAAAGGGGTCAGTAATGACTGTATAAATTTAATGACTTTATATTCAAATATTAATATATCTCCTAGAAAAATTAAAAGAACCAAGTTGGGTAGACTAAACATTATTCAGCATCACAGATGCTTTTGCTTACGATATTCAATTTAAATAGCTTCTAACTAAATTATTTTTCTTAAAAATATTTTGACTTACAAACGAGTATCTAATTTTTTTTAAATATATAATTATTTTGAATATTTTTAATATTTAATGTTAATGTAATTTTTTTTCAGATATTCGGTCCTATACTTCCAATTCTTACGATAAGTAGTCCAGCTGAAGCTATTAGTTTTATAAATAAAAGGTATGTTATCAATCAATTTTAACAAAAAATCACTCCCATAAGCATTCTTTTTTTCATTAAAATCACTTCTCAGTTTTCCAACACAAACTAAAATTTTAAATTATGAATGAAATGTAATATCTTTATGTAGATTTAGCTGAATTCCCGTCCTTCTTACGGGGTGAAAAAAAAACGTAAATAATCGATGAATCAGTTCTAAATAACATTTAAATCACGCACAAACCTAAAGGATGTATACCTACCAACACAATAAATAAAGCTGAAATGTCTCCAATTTTACTTATTTATCATTTGTTGCCCTTTCCCGTGGTAACAAATAATGAACACTGTTAGTTTATTATTTGTTACCACTGTTAGTTTATTATTTGTTAATATCTATTTGATTTGGAAAAACACATTTTAAGTAGTCCATTCAATCAAAGTAAGAGCTAACTGTATTCAGTAGCATTTTTTTCAGCATTTAACTTATTTTATTTCAATTATCGCTAATGTGAAATTATTTAGTTTTGTAGTAGCACGTTGTAAAAGTATAACTGTGAACAAAGTAAACGCGTACTTTTAATTAACTTTAGAAATACTAATTTGGTGAAGTAGTCAGCGCTTCGTACCACGTTCACATAAACCATATAATTTATCTGATATAACGAATAATGAATAATTAATTATTAAAGTGCAATAAATTCCTTTTTTTAAATTATGAGAACTATAAGTTATCAAACATCAATGATGTTACCTTAAAATATTTGAGAAATAAAAAAGCACGGTCAATAGTTAAATTTAAAACGATTGCTCATTACTAAACCAATCAGAAAATTACATTTTCGCACGTCTCACCCAAATGATCTAATTGAGGCTTTTGAACGACTTAGGATCGAGGTCTAAAATTGACCTTTGCAGCCACTGTCTAAATTTCAGAGCCATAGACCAAACTGTTCTGAAATTATAAGAAATTAGACACACAAGCAAAGACAGGCACACGAACTCTCCATTTTATTATTATAGATTTATTATTTAAAATAACCTTTTATTTCGAATTTACCGAAATTTTAATTTTATCATATTGCAGACATTGGAACTATGTATTGAGTCGTGAGCTTGTTGGCGCAAACCTTTGACTTTAGCCTATATCCGCCCCCCCCCCCCAAATGGCATTAAATCACTATATCTCAAATAGTAAATTCTATTCATCCAAACAAGAAATTAACATCAGAAGAGAAAATAGTTGAAAATCCACCAATCCTAAGAGACACATTTACCAAATGTTTTATTCCATTAATAATTTCAAGATGATATTATAAATTGGACAAAATATTATTTATTTTATAATTAATTAAAATTTTTATTATAGGATAAATAAGAATAATAACCAAATTTAATGTATTTTAAATTTATGCTACTTTTGAAATACCCTGTATTTGGTTTATTAAACTGTTACTAACATTTTGTTTCTTTTAATTACAGAGAGAAACCACTAACATTGTATGTATTTACAACAAATAAAACTATTCTTGATAAATTCCTGTACTCTACATCTAGTGGAAGCGTGTGTGTTAATGATACTGTAGTTCACTTATCAGGTGAGAGATTCAATTTAAAGATTTTAATTATGCAGTTTTGTATGTACCACTTACTTTATAAATGAATAGCAAATGAGATAGTTAGATGCAAGATGCAGTCGTTTTTGACCTTTACGAGCAGAATTTTTCACGATATTACTATCAACGATAATTAATTCACAGTCAATTAAAGTTTTTGACACTTTTCTATTAGCCAGAACACTCCCCGAATACAATCGAGTGCTCAAACTTCAGCTGGAGCTCTGTGCCTGAACACAATGCCATTAACAATTCTTTTCTAAATCTTCTTTTTTAGTCAACTTGAAAACATATTTTACTTTATTCATTCACTGACATTCACGGAGGTCTGGGCTGAACACCTTCAAGACGAAAGTATTTAGTGGAATGGAGTAGCCAGCCAGATCTCCCGACCTGAATCCTACAAAAATGTGTCTGGAATGCTCCCATCAATTGCAGATCACAACCTTTTATTAGATATCTCCCAGGGGGGTTGAGAACTATGTCAAGGAAGAGTATGATATATCGTTCGAAGATCTTAGACGTAATGTATCATTACATTTGTCAACATTGTAAACAGCTGCCTTGTTATAATATTTGCATTCTCGTCTTGGAGAAACATACCCCGAACTAAAGATCTTACAAGTGCCATTTTTACATATGTTTTTTGATGCTATTTAAATTTGCGATTTTGAGTTGGTCCCATTCCCTCTTTGTTAACATGATGTTTACTATATTTCGATGTATTTTCATGTAAAATTTCACTTGATTTGGTTTAATTCATCTTGAGATCTCCGTGATAGTGTGTCTGTTCCTTAAATCTTATCATAAATTTGTGTTTGGTTGGTTAGATAAAATAATTTCCGTTATCTGAAAAATTATGTAATTATTCGAAACGTTGAAAAAAATATTGATCTTAAATTTCAAAACCGTACATAGCTATTTTTGTTAAGTACATTGAAGAATCTTTTAATTTCCAATCTCTTTGCTTCTCCTTTTTTTTTCATATTTTTTTTTTAAACAAGACTATTATAATTACAAAAAAATCGATTAAATCTTTATTTTGAAACGACAAACTAATCTGAAACTTGAAAACTAAAAGAAATTTTAACCATGGGAGAAAGCGACACCTTTGAGGTTTCTTTTAATTGAAAAGAATAAAAATAATAAAATAAAGTACGTGAGTGATAAAAGGAAAACAATTTTCAAGCCTGACTGCTTATGAAAAGTGTTAAACTAGGTTATTTCTGTTCTCGCAGGTTTACTTTTAATGAAAGAATCCACCGATTCTTCTTCTTTTTATTTCCCTTTTTTCGATAGAATCTTTTATATTTCATGTTTTACTTCAACATTCTTTTTATTCCGCTAAAATAGTTTTGAAACCCAATTAATACCAAGAAGCCCAATTAATATCTTTTAAAGCTTCCAAGAGAAATCTATTTGTGAGATCATTATATCAGAATAAATCCGAACTACTTTTAAAGCATTTTATCATGCTTCCCTAGCCATAGGAAACATGTCATTTTGTTAACAAAAACTAATGAGGTTTCAGTAAATAAAAGGAAAGTGTTTAAACGATGAGCATTTACTATGCAGCATATTCGATGGTTTGAAATTGCTTGGAGAATAGAATTTAAATTAAGACTGGTTGTCTTTAAAACCTTCTTTCTGGTAATCCAATTTACTGAAGTTATTATAAAATTAATAAATAAAGCGTTAACATTCCTAATATGTGCGTGCAAATTACTACACTCTTCTATGTGTCTTTACAGTGAAACGCTACATAGAATATTTCAAAAAATTTAATGAAACATATGCTAAAGAGATTTTTCTGAAATTTTTTACAGCTGAAGCTTAATAAGATTAAGTTCGGCTTAGGATCTATTCAGTTTCTGTACCCCATTTATACCTAAAAATGCAAATGTCTATACTTAAAAATACTTACTTTTATTTGAAATACTTAAATTTAGTTTTTTTTCCCACTTAGTAAATGTTATGTTGTAAATTATTTTTATGACTTATCTTAAAAATACCATTGAAAGTTAAAACAGTTACTCATAATGCATATTTCAAGAAACTAGAAAACAGGTCCTTGCGATAGTCTGGTCTTGTTTATAGTTCATTTTCAAAAATGTTTCAGAAGCTAAAAATAAATTCTGTAATTATTGTCTTGTTTTAGAACTTAATAGGCATATCATATCACTAAAATCTATAGGTACCTCTAAATAATAGTACAATGGGAGAAAAGATTGCCATTTCGAAAAATTAGTAGTTTAGGTTTTGAAGAAAAAAATACTCTTCTAGATTACCTGATAAATCAATGCCTTAATCCTTTCCTTCTCGCTCCCATGAAAATGACAGGGTGAGGTTTCGCCCTCTATTTCTCGCTCCCGTGATATTGACGTTCAGTAGTAACGCGCCAATAAGAATAAAACTAATTCATTTCTTTTGCCCGGAAAACATTTTATTTCACATTTCACACACCAGATGGCAGTACCAGGATATTTTTAAGGTAATTGTAGATGGTTAGTTTATTTATAAGAGTATAGGAAGGAAATTCGGTGCTACTTTCCAAATTGTGACGTTGGCCTTTGTAATACTTTGAAATTAATCGCACAAGAAAAAAATCACTAATCTTTATTTAAATTATACGTAAGTTTAATAAAATGCTTTTTTAATGTTTAAAACACATATTTTTTTAAATTTTCCTTGCTTTCTGGAAAATCAACATTAAGTCATAGTCAATGTTGGTTTTTCTTAAAAATTTACTTTTTTAAAATTTCAAGCTAAAAACAAATCAAGAATTAAAAATGAGTATATATATTGTTCATGCACATATTTTTATATAATTTTCAGGGATAAAAAAATAGGCACTTTTATGACCGTTTTCTTGAAAATTAACCAATTGTTAAGGGGTTAACCACCCCAATGATCATGTGAAGATCTCATTATAATTAAATTTTTATCCCATTTTAAAATTAGAACTTCTTCAGCTATATCTTATTTAGTGCTAAATAAAAGGCACGTAAATTTAGATCAGTTAGGGTAAACAATGCACTCAGTAGACTTTAAGGTTCGATATCTTAAAATAAACGAAAGTGGAGCTGCCCGAAGATTCAAATATAAAGCATTCATATAATTCGTTTAAAAAATTCTACTGTAAGACTTCTAACTTTCAATTATAAATAGCGTCATTTTGTCTTAAATTAGGTCTCTATTCCAAGTACGAAATTTTACCACATATGTTTGCACTCAATATGCAATAAATAAATTTACATAGAAAAACAAGCTTTTTTAACGCCAACCGCACAACTTGCTCCACTCTAAGAGAATTATTTTTGTAAAGGAATTGTTTATGCCCATTGTGCAAACACAAAAAAAATTCTAAACAATAATTCTATTGGTACGTTTTTTTTTTTTTTTTTTTTTTTTTTTTTTTTTTTTTTTTTTTTTTTTTTNTTTTTTTTTTTTTTTTTTTTTTTTGCGTTTCATTGCCTTATTCTTAACTCTTATAAATTAAATTTTGATGTTATTTTGTCCGCTGCTATTGCTTATAGGTATTTTAAAAATTCATATGGTAACGTCACTTTCTTTCAATTGTTTCGTCGTCAGCCTTTCAAAATGCTGGAAAAATCAATCAAAATTCTGCAAGCTTTGGTTTTTTAGTATCGATCACTTATTCTTTTAAACTATTTGTTAAACAAATCGGAGATGTTGGAATCCTTGCTTTACATTTTCTAAAAATCAAACAAAGATTTCAACTTGTACGGAAATTATACAATAGCTAATGTATTAATTAAATCAGTAGTAAATTTTTCGGTAAATTTTTCGATAGTAATTTCTTTCCTTACGAAAAGAAAAGAAAATGATTTGGGGTGTTTTTCATGCAAAGGCTTTGACCACTGATTCCTATTGAAAGATTGTCGAACAACAACCTGTCAAAGAAAGTAATGATAGAAGAAATGAGGCCAGCGGTAAACAAGAGGTTTCCATGCAAAGATAACCTTTTTAAACAATATATGAGTGAATACATAATTCCACAAAAAAAAAAAATGCGGGGATATTTTGGCAAAATTAAAATAGATCTTTCAGAGTGGAAACACTCTCCGGATCTGAATCCCTTACATAGAGATTCTATGAGTATCTGCGAACAAAGATAGGCAAAAATGGATACCCAAATCAAAATTATTGATGATACCATCAAATCATTTTGATGGTTCATGTTAGTTTCAGTAAGATTCATGATGATCCAACATTATTTTATGATCATCATCATCCAATATTTTCCATTATGCGTTCATGGTTTTTGATAAGCCAGCAAACTTCCATCATTCCATGATGGAAAATGCTAATTTAATTCTATGATAGTTAATCATCAAGAGAACCTTGATTCTCATGGACCAAAAATCTATGATGGCCCATGATGGTTCCAACTATACATTTCCAAAATGCTTTAATGGGAATTATGGTTGGTTCTCAGGAATATACCATCAAAACAATTTGCCTTTTTTTTTTAATATTGGCCCATCATAAATCAATCAGAGTTCCTACATTGGGATGATTGTTGTTCATGATCGTTCTAACATTTGATTTCTAAGAAACTATGATGGAAATTTCTGAAGGTTTAACAAGAACAAACCATCAAAACAAGTTGCTATTCTTTTGTTGGACCATCATAAATCAGTCCGAATTCCTATATTGTTTGGTTACTTATGTTGGTTACTATCAAAAATATAATGGTTCATGATAGAATTATTGATGGTTACCATTAATATTATGTTGGTCCATCAATGGAAAACCATCAAAAATTTTGACTTGGGTATCAGAACAAGAAAGTGCCACATTTGTTGATTGATTCAAGGTAAAAGTATGAAGAAATTATCAAAAAACTGAAAAGCATGAAAGGATCTATCCCAAAGTGAAACTGTTTTAGAAATCAAATGAAGAGCATAATTAAAAACGAAAATGTATTAATATTGTCTATTAGCTGTTGCTTTGAAAGATATGCGTTTAATTTACTATGTACTGCACACAATTTCATACAAATTGAAATTTCTTTAATTTATTTACACGATTCTACGGTTCAACTTGAACGGGAACGCGTGGTTCAATTTAACACCATATTTCGGTTTAAGCAAATTTGCTCGATATTGTGAGAGATTTCGCATATGGTTATTTCATAACCTAACACTATTGAAGCTTCTCAGCACATGCGCGAAAATTTCACTGCAAATAGTAATATTTCAAAAATATAGAAAATAATATTAGCGTTATGGCTAAAGTAAGATGAACACTATGCAAAATCTCACTATTATGTCTCAAAGTTAAATTTACTTTTCTGAGAACATAGAACATAGTACCGGAGTCATTTTTTAAAGAAACGGTAGTGCAAAATTCTACTTTTTTTACAAAAATTTGTGCAATCATATTAATTGCTACTCTATTTTCAGTTGATTCTCTTCCATTTGGCGGAGTTGGCATGAGTGGTATGGGAACATATCATGGTAAATATTCATTCGACACCTTTTCACACAAGCGATCCGTTCTAGTGAGAACATTAAATTCATTTGGAGAATATCTGGGAAAGTAAGTTTTTTTTTCCTTCTTTTCTTGTTCTTAACTGTATCTACAAAAAAAAATATTTAATTTTATTCATTGAAAATTATTTATTTAATTTTTGGAACTAATAGTCCGGAATGATATCGAAATGACAATATCGTGATATACACCGAAGAGCCATTACATTATGGCCACCCTCCATCTATAACAATGGGCTCACACAGGTTTTCATTGTTTCTCGCCCAGGAACAATATTTTTATGAGCACATTAGGATCCATAATCCTCATGGAACAATCCCTGACGTCTGTAAGCTACTTGAACATAGTTGCAGACCAGGTTCACCCATTCATGGCAACAGTTTTTCCTGCGGGGAATGGTGTTTACCAACAGGATAATGCACCATGTCATAAGGGTCGAATCGTCGAGGAACATTCCTGTGACTTTCAAGTCATGTCTAGGCTCCCAAATTTACCTGACCTTAATCCAATAGGCCATTTGTGGTCCTTCTTGGAAAACCAAATTCGTGCTGTCACGCTACCCCCTCGCAATGTGAGGAAATTGCAGGACCAGTTGGTGAGCGCTTGGTACCAGATACCTCAGACTACCTATCAGCACCTTGTGGAATCAATGCCACGGCGGGTGCTAGCAGCTTTAAGGGCTAAAGGTGATCCTACATGTTATTAGCATAGTGCTCATAATGTAATGGCTCTTCGGTGTAAGTCTTTTATAAGTCAATTTTTCTCGTCCTCATGTCAGTCATATTTAATCATAATAATATAAAAATTATCTACAAAAAAACTTTTTAATTTTATTCATTAAAAATTATTTATTTAACTTTTGGAACTAATATCCCGGAATGAAATCGAAATGACAATATCGTGATAAGTCTTTTATAAGTCACGTTTTCTCGTCCTCATGTCAGTTATATAACTGTATCTACAAACAAACTATTTACTTTCATTCATTAAAAATTATTCATTAAAAATAATTCATTTATTTTCTGAAACTAATAGCTCGGAATGAAATCGAAATGACAATATCGTGATGTATAAGTCTTTTATAAATCACTTTTTTTTCGTTCTCATGTCAGTCATATAACTGTATCTACAAAAAAACTATTTAATTTAATTCGTTAAAAATTATAAATTTAATTTTAGGAACTAATATTTCGGAATGATATCGAAAGGAAAATATCGTGTTATATAAGTCTTTTATAAGTTGTTTTTTCTCTACCTCATGTCAGTCATATAATCTACAATTTTAAGACTGAAATATTTTAAATCTTCAAAATTGATATGAAGTTTTTTTTTCAGGGCCAGATATCCTCCTTATACCATAACCAAAACGAAAATTTTGAAAAAGTTCCTGGTAAAGAGGCCAAATCTGATACCCACTTATTTACCTCAATTCCTGATTTTTCTATTAGGAATGATATCTGCACTTGCTCTGAAAGAACTCATAAGAGTAAGTGGACTACTTATTACACAGATTTTTCTTTTTAAAAAAAATAAAGCAAACATCATACATTGTATAAAAATCATTTTCATGCAAAAATTTTGGTTTTTTCAAATCAGTCAATTTCTTAACCAACTAAAGTGATAGTGAGTTCAATCACTGCATTTTTTATCAAATCATTCAACTTCTCTATTATTATATATTTATCTATTATTATATATTTATCTATTATTATATATTTATCTATTATTATATTATGTTTATAGATTGCCTATTTTTTAAATTTACTTTAGCAAAGATTCGAAATTAGTATTAATAACGAATAAGCCTAACATTTTAAGCTTTTTGTCTTAAAAGCTGATTTAATACCTCAAAATAATGTACCTAATTAGTTTTAAAAAGGAAAAAGTTTCAAACAATCGTATTTCTTAGAGTATCAATTTTTGAGCTCGTATAAAATTCGAATAAATTTTTCCCGCTTGACTTCAAACTTAAGCTGTATACTTAGAATCTTTCACAAAAATACTCAGAATTTTTAGTTTCATTTTATTGCTTTTTTTTTGTAATCGGCAATTTTTTGAGAAATTTGAATTTAAAAAAGTGCACTATCCTGTCAAATAAAAAAAAAGTCTAGGTACGTATTGCTACTAGGTAATAATACTAGGTAATTTAATACTAGGTAATTATTTATTTATATCATCGAAATCAATTTTATTTTTTGCCCTAATTTAATCGCCTTAACCGTACAATCTTCAAAAAGATAAGACTTAATAGGAAAAAAAGGCTCTACATTGCGAAAATAAGTTTTTTTTTTCTTTTTTTTAAATACACCTAAATAAAATTTGATGTAATTACCTGATTTTCGTTTACTAAGATGCAATATTTATGATCCAAAAACTTTAAGTATGATAAATAATTTGAGTTGACGCAGTTACAAAATTAGACTTAATAATGTCCTTTATCTTAATAAACATATTTTTTATCAACTGTTTTAGTTTCTTAATTCTTAAAATATGGAGGGGTTTGTCGCTATCAGGAAAATATTGTTCGAATAGTTTAAGAAGGAGAGCTGTTGGACTTTTGAATACCTTACTGTTAGTGTAGTTTTTTGTGCATTCCAACATTTGAAACTATTTAAGCAAATTAAAACAATTTGGTGCACAATTTTAAAACTATTTTGTCAAAAGATAATTTTCGTAAAAAATATTCTTCGTTGATTATTTATAATTTCCTATTGTCAATTTAATTATGGGGGAAACTTTTTGAAATGCGAGATACGAATACATCATTTGAAGTATATTATTTTAAATTATAAAATATAAAATTTGAGCAAAATTGATTCAATAGTTTAATTTAAGTAATAAAATTTCAAAAATGTCAGGAGTTTTTTTTCTTCTTTTTCCTGGAATTTTATTTTTAAAGAGCAAATACCATGATTCCGCCGAAATCTGGATATGAAAATTGCACAGCTGGAAATAGATTAATAATGTACTTACTTCCTAATTTTACTTTTTTTTGCCCTTATTAAAAGTAATAAAAATGATAAGTAATTATCAAAAGTTTTTACATAGAATTATATTTTGATGAATAGTTTTATAACTGTAGGCAAATTTTTTTTTCATTGCCTTAAATAGTGCCACAGATATAATGAGACACACAAAATGGGGCATTTTCATTTAGGAGTCCAAAATTTCATCCGCTCTTCTGTCTAACTGTTGGAATAATATTTTCCTGATTGCGGCTACTACCTTTCCCTCCCAATATTTTGAAGGACAGGAATTCGAATCAATCAACAATAAAATATAACGGGAGGGATATGTTTATTTAGAAAAAAATACTTTTTTTCTGATTTCGCCTTTTAAACAATTGTCTGCTCAAATTTATACGCACACGTAAGTTAAGCCCCTCAAACAATTAGATTGCATCTTAAGCATTGCTTAGGAAAAAATAATTTTTGCGGTTCAGTAGTTATTATTATAAAAGACCTTTACCGAAATTTTCATTTATTTTCTTGCCTAAAAAAAGAAATTTTCAAAATAAGCTCATATTCTACCGTTTTTACAGTGTCTTTACCAAATAAATTATTTTACAAGTGAAATTCCCGGATAGCAGGGAACCTAAAGGTAAACAATGTATTTTCATTTTCCTTTGGTTGGCATAGAAAGGTTGACAAATTAATATTTTTCTAAACTTAGTCGAAATACTAATATGTCAATCTTGTTTCCTTAAATAAAGAATAAAGGCATGCAAAAAACGAAAAAAAAAATCATTTTTTCGCTTTCACTGTAAACAGTATTTTTACCTCCTTTTTTCATTCTAGCTTTAGCTAGGCTCTCAGTTGCAAGATTTTGTTTGTGTTGAAAACTTAATAATCAGGCCATCCTTCACTATTAAAGTGTATCAGAAAATTTATAAACGCCTGCACAAATAAACCTTGTTTCAGTGATAGTCATAAAATCTAAAATAAACCTTGAGAAGGTATATTTATCCTCGGTTTGAGAACTCTTGATTTGCAGATAATCTACTCTTGATTTGCAAATGATGATTCATTATCAATTTTTTTTAACTAGGTCTTATAGATTCGATCTCGATATAAAATTGTTGTTTATGCAAACTTAATTCGAACATTATGATGGAAAACTAACATAGTTAAATTTAACATTGTTTTAAGCTTGCATGGTTTATTTGCTTATCATTTATAAATCTTGATGAGCTTTGTTGATAAAGGTTGTTGCTAAAATTAAACTCAACCTTACACTGCTATCAGGGAAGGAATTTATTGAAAAATGTAGGAATAGCAGAGCAACTAAGCATTAGAAAAATTTATTTCAGTCAAACCTCGATATCTCGAACTTGAAGGGAGAGGAGAAAAAATTCGAGATATCGAGAATTCGAATTATCGAAAATCGTATGTTATCGATGGTAGAATAAAGAAAAATGCTCTTTACATACCTTATTTACCATTCCATATTTATTCTTAAAACACTTTTTACACTTTCATTTAAAAAAAGATTGAATTGTTGTTTGCTTTAGAGATGTGTAAGAAAGTTTGTCTATAACACTTTCTAAGTGGACTAAAGCTTTAAATGTCTCCTCTGACATATTCGGCTGCCTCTCAATAAATCTCCTTACAGTGTCCACTGCAGAAAGTGCTTGTTTGTTAGTAACATTGAGCGGTAAATCCTCGATTTCCTCATCCTCTTCTTCTGATAGTTCACAAGAAGCTTTCGTTTGAGCGATGATATCATTGTCATTCCACTGACCACACACTGTTACTGCATCATCTACGTTTACAAAGTTATGAAATTCCATGTCATCAAGCTTCATGAGTCCGGTCAATTTGTTCCAATCATTTTCGGTGTAGTTTTCAGCAGAATTAACGATATTGATTGTTTGACTACTTTTGTGATCTTTAATGAATCCAGACTTCTTGAAGCCATTCTTTATCGTAGAGGAAGACGCATCATTCCATGTCTTGTCAGCCATTCTTAAAATTTCTTATTTTTTTGGAATATTTTCTTAATTTTAGAAAAAAAATCTACACTATTTATGGAAAAAAAATTCAAGTTATAGAGGGATTAGAAAAAAAAATTTGTGAAATCAAGTTTTTTTTAACATTGAGTGTATAGGAAATTCTAAGGGAATTTTTTCTTCTTCGAGACATCGAAGAATTCGTGAAATCGAGGTTCGAGTTAGCGAGGTTCGACTGTATTAATAGTAAAGTTAATAGTAAAGTTTTATTGTTAATTATAGTAAAGTTCTTGTTAACTATAGTACCTTGTTAAGTATATTAAATTTTGATTCAAAGTACACACAGAACACTTAGATTTTGACATTTTCAATATTTATTTTCTCCTAAACTTGAAAATGTCAGTTACCCCCTTTAATCCAAAAAATCGCGGAAATAAGAGAAAAGTCGGAATCCTTTTTTTTCTTCTGCTGTGTAAATTGATTTTGTGTGTGTTTAAGTTATCACTCTCAAAATTTATCTGTTTCGTATGCAGCGAAAGCACGAACGCGGCACAAATGAAAGACATTTTGAGTAAATATTACAATGCTACACATCAAACATGTGTCGACATCGTAAATCTTTGACAAGACAAGTTTATAGTCCTTGAGAAGAAGAGAATAAATATTTTTAAAACGGAGGGAAATATTTGTTTATATTTTATATCAACTTTGATTTGGAAAGTGACAGTTTAAGATCCATATTTTCAATCAAATTTAGCACACTGAAGTGCTTCACAAAATTATGGCCTCAACAATATTTTATTTAAATTTTAATAAATAAAATACTTTTGTAGGGATTTTGAGTTCATTTATTTATTTTTAATTTTTTTAAAAAAATGGGTAGAGCTATTTAATTATGTACCTTTATCTTTTGAGTTATGTTACTGTTGAAGAATTTTTTTTTCTTCCACAGCATAACTCAGTCCGTTAGAAATTATTAAATTATTAACCTCCATTTGACCATAAATAATTGCATTATTATTTTTAGTTTCAGGAGAAAATGTCTCACAGTTTCATTTAATTGTTTTAATGCATTTATAAAGTAAATAAATGCCTTAATTAAATAAATAATCCCAGGAACTGTAGCGGTAAGATATTATTTGAATAAAAACTTCATTCGCTTCAAAAGTATACAAATTGGAAATAACAGTCGACATATTTCAAGCGCTCAAAAACAGGCGCACATTATTGCACGTCTGGCAAGTCTTGAAAATGGGCGTCTATTTTTAATCGCTTGAAACATGTAGACTATTATTTCCAATTTATATATTTTTTAAGCGAATGAAATTTTTAATCAAGCAAGTGCCTTAATTGCCTTTCGTACGGGAAAATATTCTTCTGTTCATTGCAATTATTAGAAAAACGATATTCAGGATTTTCTATAGAGACCGTTGTTAATATATATTCTTAGAACCCTTATGTAAATTAATTATCAAAAAATCAAAATCAAAAGGTATACAAATTAAGGGTCTTATATTAGTATTAAAGTGTGGAAAAAA